AGGATCAGCTTACCGAGGAGGAGTGGATTCAGCAGCACTGCCCCTGGACTGATTCTGATGCTGAGCACTTACCGGCTGACGATGGCACCGCAGATGATCCCTCTGAGATCTGATGGGTGTCCATCGTTTGCCTTCACCTGGAGCCGTAGCTTCACTCCCTCTCCTTTTTGGTGTCTCGATGCCAAAGGGGGAGAGAGTTTAGGGATTTGCGTTTCGTGTCTTCCGTCTTTTGTGTTTGTGCTTTCGCTTGTTGCTTTATTTGGTTTGTGTCAGTGAGACCTAAGTTCTGGTTCTGTCAGTTAGACCTAAGCTCGAGTCATATGGTGTGAGACATATGCTACCTTATCTCTTCGTATCATTATCTATGTCTATCTAGCTTATGAGTTCCATGCTTATCCTGTTATATATATGTTGCTCTCATATCTTGCTTAGGTAGTTGGTCTCTAAAATGTAGGGGGAGCATTGATCCTGGCATCTGTGCCGTGCAGTCCAAAGCACTTTTCTAGGTAGCACACATCCAGGGGGAGCCCTTCTACATTTTAGGACGTTTGTGCTTTTGCGCTTATCCTATTTCTATCATTTTGTGCAAATCCCGTATTGTCATCAATCCACCAAAAAGGGGGAGATTGTAAGGGCATATTTATTCCGAATATGTTTTGGTGATTGATGACAATGCTTGTGCGGACTAATCGTGTGCGTTTAGTTCTTTCAGAGATTCATCCATTGGCACGAGACGATTTCCTCCCCTCGGTGTTGTAATTCAAGACGGTGTAGCTCCTTCGTTTCGTTGTTGGTGGACTAGTTTCGTAGGAGTCACCGTACTATCAAGAGGGGATCCGTTTTGGTAAGACTTGGGTGGAATCACACGTACACATCCTTATCACACCCATCGTCTTTCCTTCCGCATCTCTGGAGCTGCCGTTTTCCCCTTACTATGCTCTGCTCTGCCCTAGCGGTAGTACCGCGTCCACAGCGGTAGTACCGCCGAAACTCCACAGCGGTAGTACCGCTCTTAGAGCGGTAGTACCGCTCCGAGCGGTAGTACCGCTCTCAGAGCGGTAGTACCGCTTGGTTTTTTTGGCCGTAGTACCGCTGTGCATCTGGGTTACTTCCGCCTCGATTCTCGAACGAATTTTTCATGTCGGGTTTTGCGGCACTAAGGGAGGTAGTAGGGGCGGTAGTACCGCTCTAAGCGGTAGTACCGCCCTTCCCTAGCGGTAGTACCGCCCTGGTGTCAGGGCCCTGGGCAGCGCGGCTGAGGGAGTTCCGGACTAGGGGGTGTCCGGATAGCCGAACTATCATCATCGGCCGGACTCCAAGACTATGAAGATACAAGATTGAAGACTTCGTCCCGTGTCCGGATGGGACTTTCCTTGGCGTGGAAGGCAAGCTTGGCGATACGGATATGTAGATTTCCTACCATTGTAACCGACTCTGTGTAACCCTAGCCCTCTCCGGTGTCTATATAAACCGGATGGCTTTAGTCCATAGGACGAACAACAATCATACCATAGGCTAGCTTCTAGGGTTTAGCCTCCTTGATCTCGTGGTAGATCCACTCTTGTAACACGCATCATCAATATTAATCAAGCAGGACGTAGGGTTTTACCTTCATCAAGAGGGCCCGAACCTGGGTAAAACATCGTGTCCCTTGTCTCCTGTTACCATCCGCCTAGACGCACAGTTCGGGGCCCCCTACCCGAGATCCGTCGGTTTTGACACCGACAACGGAAGTACCGCTGGGTCGAAGCGGTAGTACCGCCCGAAGCGGTAGTACCGCTCTTCCCTGGCGGTAGTACCACCCTGGGGCCAGGGCCCCAGGCAGCACGGCAGTACCGCTGGGTCGAGCGGTAGTACCGCCCGGAGCGGTAGTATCGCCCTTCCCTAGCGGTAGTACCGCTCTGTGCGGGGCTGGTGAGTGGGATAACGGTTGGATTGTTCTTCCCACTATATAAAGGGGTCTTCTTCCCGAAACTTGACCTACCTCTTTCCCCCAAAGCTCCATTGTTGCTCCAAGCTCCATTTTCGCCCGATCTCTCTGCCTAGCCAATCAAACTGGTTGATTTGCTCGAGATTGGTTGAGAAGGCCCAGATCTACACTTCCACCAAGAGAAATTTGATTCCCCCCACTTATCCCTAGCGGATCTTGTTACTCTTGGGTGTTGAGCACCCTAGACGGTTGAGGTCACCTCGAAGCCATACTCCATTATGGTGAAGCTTCGTGGTGTTATTGGGAGCCTCCAAGTGTTGTGGAGATTGCCCCAATCTTGTTTGTAAAGGTCCGGTTGCCGCCTTCAAGGGCTCCAATAGTGGAATCACGGCATCTCGCATTGTGTGAGGGCGTGAGGAGATTACGGTGGCCCTAGTGGCTTCTTGGGGAGCATTGTGCCTCCACACCGCTCTAACGGAGACGTACTTCCCCTTAAAAGGAAGGAACTTCGGTAACACATCCTCGTCTCCACCGGCTCCACTCTTGGTTATCTTGTCCCTTTACTTTTGCAAGCTTACTTGAGTTATATCCATTGCTTGCTTGTGTGCTTATTGTCTTTGCATCATATAGGTTGTCCACGTAGTTGCACATCTAGACAACTTATTTCATTGAAAGTTTTAATTTGTTAAAGAAAAGTCTAAAAATTGTTAGTTGCCTATTCACTCCCCCTCTAGTCAACCATATCGATCCTTTCAGCAGCCGAGGAGGCTGTCCGCCGCAACATCACCTTATTGTGCTCACTTTCCTCTCTCCCCAACCCATGTCTCGTGATGATATGATTTAATGTCGAGCCAAATGGAGAGATTTTGACAGGGATGCACGCGAGTACACTTCTCGATGACGAATCATATTTTTTCACACAGTTCACATAATAGCCAGGTACCACATACCCCTAGAAAAGCTCGAACGATATATGGGCTGGCTCATATTTTAGTTATAGTGAGCTTTTATTCAATGGATTTTGGGAAGGTTGTTGAACCTTCCATCAACCAATTTCTCTTCATTTTTTAGTTTTTTATTTTATGTTTTTTCCCTTTTCTTGTTTTCATTTTTTTATTTTGTGAAATCTTTTGTTTTTGGATCATCTTTTGAAACATGGGATCATTTTTTGAAATTTGGTAACTTTTCAAATTCATGATTGTTTGAAGCATGGGAGCATTTTTTGAAATACAGTTTTTTTTCAAATGCATTATTCTTTAAAATTCATAGCATTCATTGAAACGTGGGAACAACTTTCAAATTCACTAATATTTTAAAATATAGGGACATTTTTCGAAATTCTGATTCTGTTTCCAAATTTATGAACATTTTGTGAAATCTGGGAACAATTTATTAAATTCGTGAACATTTTTTAAAAGTCAGATCATTTATATAGTAAACAAGGAACAATTCTAAAATTCATGACATTTTTTAAAATTCAGGAACAATTTTCATATTCTTCAACATATTTCTAAAAATCCAATAACATTTATTAATCGTGAAGGCGTTTTCTACTTCTGTATTTTTTTTAATGCCGACTTAAGCAAAACAAGAAAAAAAAATGTAAAATCGAAAGAAAAAAAGAGGGCTGCGCCCCTCAATGGGCCCGGCTGAAGCGCGCGCAGGGTAGTGCGCATTTTCTCGCTTTCCTGTACAGACAACCTTAGCTGAGCTTACTATTGTTTTTCTTCGAATTTGAAACTTGTTCATGATTGCTGACTTCATAACATGTTTTAAAGAAAATTATTCACAATTTCCCAAGAAATGGTCCTTAAAATTCGAATTTTTTGTATTACCGCTGCTTTTAGTTCTTAAATGTTCGCACAGCCTATGAATTGCTTACACTCAGCAGCTCAAGTTGTAAGGAACACTGGGTGTCTGATGCATTTTGTGGGGGATTTTAGCAGTCGCGCAGGACACTTCGCGATGGCGTCGCTGAATGTGTCGGCCTATTAGGATCGGGCCCTGCGCGAAAGCGTTAGCTGTGGGCTATCGTCGGGGAACAGGGGCTTGCTAACCGAACAACAGAAATCACTAGTCGGGGAGTTCTCCTTGCAAAAAACACTCCCGCCTTCCTAAGCTATGACAAGTGACGTGCTGCATGTTCGTCACTTGTCACAACCTGAGAGCTTTCTCTTTTTTCATAGATTCGTGTATTCAAATCGTTTTATCTTTTAAACCATACGTCTAAATCTCGAACCGTTTTCGTCATTGGATTTCTCGCGTCGAGATCTTCAAAACTAGATCCCATATTGATAGGTTGACGTACTTTGTTTCACGAAAAAAATTGGAGAAAAAACCGAATCAGGAGCACGGTTGTTTCCCCTTTCCGAAAGAGGCACGACCGTGCTTCTCGCGAAAGGAAAAAAAAGAAAACACATTTTTTCGTATTCGAGAGGCACGGCCGTGCCTCTCGCTAAAGCAAAAAAAAAAGAAAACACATTTTTTTTTCGTATTCAAGAGGCACGGCCGTGTCTCTCGTGAAAGCAAAACATTGCCTCTCACGGAAGTAAAACCCTGCCTCTCTCAGAAGCCAAAAAAAGGAAATGCGTTTTTTCATGCTTTTTTTTCTGATTTTTTTGGTTCCAAAAGCTGAGGAAGACCGATGAAAAACCAAAAACTCGAAAAGAACCAGGAAAAACCCGTTTAAAAAGCCAAAAAATCGTGTGAAAAAATAAATAAAATCTGAAGGGAGTGCCGAGAAAGCGACACGTGGCGACGGCCGGGAGCGTGCCAATACTCCCGAAGGAGCGCTCATAAACTAGTTGCTCTCCTCCACCCCCACCTTTTTTTTTGAAAAACAACTAGTTGCTCTCCCGAACAGCACATTTTTGTTGCGCCAGGGTATTTCCCACGATGGGCGTGTTCTGCCGGCGGTTGGCTCGGCTGCCATCCCGGCCCAAAAAGGAAAAGTGCGATATCTATTTGGGCTCTGATCGTGCCTAGCCCGGTAAATCTGACGCCTCCAGCACGTTCTCCCCCAAAGCCGTCCACGTCTCCCCCTCCCTCAACTCAGGAGCCGCCGGCGAACATGGGGACGCGGGAGGTGTACGAGGAGAAGCTCCGCAGCGGCGCGCACCTCCACCGCGACCCCACCATCAACCCCGGCCTCGGCTCCGCCCGCTGCCCCCGCTGCCTCTCCCTCCTCAACCCGACCACCAGCTCCGTACGTACTCGCCAACCCCCCTTCCCCCCTCTCCCGATTCCTCCTCCTCCATCCGCCCCGCGGTTCGTTCTGAACGGTGCTTATGCTTTTCTCTTGGACGGCTGCGCAGGGAGGGCGCGACTGGGCCATCACCTCCGTCCTGCACGACGCCACCGCCGTGGTAACGCGATTTCGCCCCCTTTTTTTTGCTGCTTAATTTCTACGGGCGCCTGCCCGAGATCCGTAATTGGGGAGATTCGTCGCTAACTTGTGTGCTTGCTTCCTGCCTGTCCTGTTGCTGCAGACTGGTTCTGGCGCCGGGGCGATGCTCAGTGCGGTGCACGGGTTTAATACAGGTTCGTTGTGTTTGATTTCGGCCCATTGCTTAGTTGTTAGCCAGGTATGCTCTGGATGAAAAATTGAATGTTTTGGTTTTTGGAACAGGGATCCCGTTTGTCCAGAAGCATGTGAAGGGGCCCAAGTGGCTGCACTTACTTGTTGGGGTAAGTCTTGATTTCGGTTCATTAGATGCTAGTATGCAAGAAAATCCCTTTGATTCAGCTTAGTCATCTTGATTGTTGAATTTACATTTTTGTCAGGATACTTTAAAAGATTGATGCATCTTATTACATTTGTGACGCTAGAAGATGTATGTAGTGAAGGAGGTTATCTATCATTAGTTAATCAGGAGAATGACTGAAAGTTTGGCGCAAATTGATCCCAGTTCCTCTAGAAATAAGTATATGATCACATCAAACTCTATACGAGTATAGGCTGTTTGGTGTATGCTACAGGAATGATAAGTTAATCAAGAAAACTTCTGCCATTCTATACGGATAGGAACACTAAAGGAAACTAATTAGCGAAACCTCTCTTTACGATTTTGAACATAGCTGTGTGTAGCATTCAAGAACAAGATCAGGGTATTTACTGAATTTTAAAGGATCAAATGATATTTGCTTAATTTTTGAACAAATGATACTGACGTAGGTAAAGAAACGCCATCTTCCAAGGCACCTGTTCGAGTGTATTACTGGCTGGACAGATTTTTGGAAAAAAAAGGGTTAAGTTTAGGATCATAAACATGGGTTTTCTTCATTTTCAGCATTAGAAAATTCAAACTTAACATAAGTTCTGGTTTGCTGCCATCTTTTAGACTGCTGAGATTATGACATGTGTTATTTACTTGCCTTGGAGCTTTTTTATCATGTGTTCTCGGTGCAACTGGCAATGGATTTTCATTTATCTGCTTTATGTTTGGCACTCGTAGCAGTTTCTGTAACTGTTAAGTTCACATTGTTTTTACATTTTCATTTAATTGGAGGTGATATTTTATTTGTGCAGGTCCCTCCTTTGATCTTATTCTCTGGTGCCAGTGCTTTATTTGGGGGTAAGTTTTTGCAACGAAGTTCAGTTATCATTTTCTTATCTAAAAAGGATCTTGAAATTAGCGTTGACAACAAATACCCTCCCGTATAGAAATTTGCATATTATAGCTAAAAAACCTGGAATATGTTCTTTTTCTTCTTGTTTTGTTTATTCATTGGTAATCATTGTGAACCTCTATGGCCTGTACGCATTTGTTAAGGGTGCACAGAGAAAGTGACCATAAGAAAATAGTGTGATCCACCATCATTTTTTGTTTAGTATCTGTCTGTATATTTCTATATAGTTCTCAGCCTAGCATTTACTTGCAAATCCTGTATTGAGGTTGCAGATATAGATTTTAGGTGCAATAGAAAGGAATTATTTGATCAGGTTGGGACAGGACATGGGGTATGCTTCATTTTAGCTTTCTTGAAGCATCGCATATACCTTGCCAATTTCTGTTATCCTAATAACCACGTAAAAATTGACAGCTGAGCAAAGTTACAGAAGACATGTATCCTGTTCTTCCTAGTTCTACGAGTCTTAAATTTCTTAGGTTAACAAGACGTGACCTCAAACTCGAAGTGGGTCATCTGCACTTTGGCAGATTAGAGCCTATGATAAATCTTGGCTTCCAAATCTCTGAAGTTCCTACATTTATTTCTAATCTATTAGAGGATATGGTAAATCTTGGGTTATTACAAATCTCCGATGCTCCTCTTAAAGATATTTTTAATGTTAGCCTCAATTGATTGTTGGATGTTAAGTCTTTTTTTGTATCTACATGTTGTCAGGCATGTTGCCAACATTAGCTAGGTAAACTAGCAATTTCTTATCCTGTGCCTGTTATATTGAAAACTAAATACTCCTGAAGACTCACCAGCCATACGCTGGAGCATGTAGTCAGAGGAATCGCATTTTTGAGACATAATGCCTGATCATCTGCTGCTTTGTTTTTTGCAGCTTACGCGCTCCCAACGTTTGCCCAGCTCACTGTGACATCCTACTATGCCGCATCAAGTGCCTCTCACTACGCAGTTTCACAGATCACACGCCACATCGAGAAGGCCCATTTATCTGGCGCTCCTGACGAGAAGTCTTGAGTAGCTGCTCGCAATCAGTCAGTTTGTTTGGTGCACATGCCATGCACATGGTATATATGGACTCCCTGCTTCTCCATGTCGCGGTAGTCTGATAGTTTTGTTGAGTTCCAGGCGCAAACCTGTTCTACATAAGTATAATTAATTATTACGGTATGTAACTCTGCTAATTGCTACTCATGTCACGTTTAAGAGCAATATTGTGTTGGATTCCTTGGCTCCTTTTGCTGTTTGGATAAAATGTTATCTGAAACTATTGGTCCCGAATTCAGAATGTAATTTCGTATTGGAATGCATGTATCATGTGTACATCCATTAATGGAAAAGGAGCGAGCAAGAACTCCGCCAAATTCAGTCATCACTCTTGGTTCCTTCAAGTACAAGGCACTCAAAATGAGAAGGCTCTTATTTTGGTTCAATAACGAGGAAGATGGTCTTTGCTGAAAGATGGATCAGTTTGGTCACTGGGATGCTCACCAAATTTCAATCAAGTGTTTTTTATCACCGTGCTTATGCTAATAGAAGATGATGCCTGATTGTTTAACTTTTGAAAATGACAGATCAAAACCATCTTTGTAGATTCATGAAAAATCCAGTAAGTTCATAACCCACTATACTAAATGAACTTGGAACATAACTCCTCGCATGGATAATAAATTAACCAAAGCAACGACCATAAGCAAATGGCTCGGTTTAACAGCGTTTCCACCATTTGCGAATCAAGTTAGACTGAATGTACTTTCCATTTTATTTAGGGCCAGCGGAAACGTTCCCCACACAGAAGAACTAAGCAGATACTACTCTACTCGTATGCTCAGGCCACTCGTTAATCATCACCAAGATCAATCTCGAGGTCCAGGAAGATCGGGTCGAGCAGGCCCGGCGGCGCCTTGACGCCGGACCACCGCGCCTTCTCTCTCGCCTGCCGCCGCTGAACCTTCCACCGCAGCCGCCAAGCCAGGAGCTTCCTCCGCTGCTTTCCGCCCCACGGCCCGGCGCCGTCGCCGCATCCCGTCGGCAGCCCCGAGCGCCGCCTGACCGACCTCAGCGGCCCACGCGGCGCCCTGCGGTCGGCGGCCTTCTTCCTCCTGACCACCGGCTGCTGCGGCGCCCCCTCCTCGTCCCTCCCGGCGTCATCCTGGCCGTCGTCAAAGTAGTGGTGATACGCATACATGCCGCCGTCGGAGTCGTCGTCGTCGGAGTAGAAGCGGCGGAGCGCTTCGTCGCTGGCCATGGTCGGTTGATCGCGCCGGTCAGGGCTGGGGATTGGCGGCGGGGGGTTGCTCGCGCGCTTATTATGGAGGCACGCACGACGTCGGTGGCGTGTGCCTTCGCGCCGCTTGGCGCGTCGTGTCTGACCGTCTCTTCGTTTCCGTCACGTGTGCGCGACGGAACACCGACCGACCACGCTTCCGCTTCCGCGTGTTATCGGACCCGATTCGATTCGGCCGGCCGGTCGGTCGGTCGGTCGGTCGGTTGGGCCGCACACGTACAAAATCTCTTCGCACAATGGAGTTGTAGTACCATCGCTCTTCCAAAATTTAAGGAGAATCTGAGCTACCCAAATCAGTAAATTGCGGGCCTTAACATTGTCTCATTTTTTTTTGCCTTCCACCATCAATGTTTTCATCCTTCTAAACAGTGCTCTGGAAAAATTGGGAGGCGAGAAATCAAGTGGTCTTTAATGATATGTGCCTCTCACATGTGGATACGATCCGCTCAATTATTGAGGAGCTCACAATTTGGTCTCACCGGCCAAAAACTTCTTCTCATCGGGGTCGCCCAGGCTTGTGGCGTGATCACCTTTGCCCCCAACTGTCATAGTGGTTGACCATTTTTCAAAAAAAAAAAAAAAAGAAGAGGAAAGAGTCACCTACCTCATTGTGTGGTTCATTTGTTCTTCGATGAACATCGGCGATTCACATTTAAGGATGATCTGAGACATAAATCACTCATATTTTGTCAATTATCTTGTTGTATTGTTCATTTGTTCTTCGTATGAATATGGATAAGTATTTAAGGACGGAAGGGATAGGTCATATTTAATCGTTTGGAAAAGAAAATCAGTGTAAGTCGATTCCGGTACATGGTGCTTTCTTCCTCCTGGCTGTCTTCCAGCTTGCACCCGAGCTGCCTTCCAAGACCTGCATAACCGACAACACTGCCCATCCCAAAACCCCAGACTCTGCATGAGTCGTCGCCGTCTGACCATCATTGTAATCCCTCGCTATGGCACCATCAACCACCTGCGCACCTGCACAGTCAAGCCTCGAACTCATTGTCATGGGAACGTCACAACGACGTCCTTGTCTCCTGCCGGGGAGTCAGAGTTCCATGTCACGTGTCCTTTTCCTAGTAAAATCGAATGATAACCCGCTATTATCAAGATATGAAAAAACATTTCTATATTACGGGACGAAGGGAGTAGCAAACACGCAGAAGGAACGCAAGGCACATGCGCATACGGCAAGCAACTTCACTGACACCCCTAGACTTTGTGATTGCGATGGATTTGTAGGATTGAAGCGTTCCTACTCTCCAGGAGGAGAGCCGCGTTGTATATATTGACGAGAGACAGGAATAGCCCCTGTCGTGGCTTACACGGTTTCTACCGATCGCTAGGATTCGGTGTTTACAGGAGATACGAGAGAGAGAAGACTTGCGGAAGAGGAAGACAGGAAAGAGGTTGAGATTACATGCATATATCTCTAAGTTAAAACTACCTCTATCTAACACCCTCCCTTAATCTCAACTATCCAACATTCAGGTTTCTCTTGAACTCCTCGAATGGCTTGACTGGTAGAGCTTTGGTGAAACCATCTGCAACTTGATCTTTAGATGGGAAGAAACGTATGTCCAACTTCTTCTCCGCAACTCTTTCTCGCACAAAGTGAAAATCAATTTCAATATGCTTAGTTCTTCCATGGAATACTGGATTAGCAGAGAGATATGTGGCTCCTAAATTGTCACACCATAGACATGAAACACGATGTTGCTTAATTCCCATCTCATTCAGCAATGATTCCAACCAAATGATCTCAGCTGTTGCATTAGCTAATGACTTGTACTCAGCCTCAGTACTTGATCTTGACACTGTGGCCTGTTTTCTGGCACTCCATGAAATAAGATTAGAGCCAAAAAATACTGCGAATCCTCCAGTAGACTTTCTGTCATCAATACATCCTGCCCAGTCAGCATCAGAAAAGACACTAACAAGAGTAGAGTTAGAGCGTCTGAACTGAAGGCCTAAACTCACAATGTGTTTTATATATCTGACAATTCTTTTAATAGCTGTCCAGTGTGCAGTAGTAGGAGCATGTAGATACTGACAAACCTTGTTCACAACAAAGGATATATCTGGTCTTGTCAGTGTTAAGTACTGTAGGGCTCCTACCGCACTTCTGTACCTTGTGCTCTCTTCTTCCTTGAGTGGATCTCCTTCATATGCTGAAAGTTTTTCTGAGGAAGACAATGGTGTAGGTGAAGGCTTACAGTCCTTCATACCCATGCGAGCTAGAAGTTCAGTGGCATATTTCTCTTGATTCAGTACTATGCCATCTTGAATCTTCTTCACTTCAATGCCAAGGAAGAAGTGTAAATCGCCAAGATCCTTTAGTGCAAATTCTGAACTTAGATCATGCAGCAGAGCATTAGTAGCACTTTGTGAGGAACTTGCAACTATAATGTCATCAACACAAATATAACCGTGTTTGCCTTTTTGTAAATGAAAAGTGACGTGTCAGCTTTAGATGGAACAAAACCAAGACACCTTAACTGAGAGCTCAACCTTGAGTACCACGCTCTTGGTGCTTGTTTTAGGCCATAGAGCGCCTTGTCAAGCCTGCAAACATAACGAGGTGTTTTCTTATCTGCATACCCAGGTGGTTGTCTCATATAAACCTCCTCTTCCAGAACACCATGAAGAAACGCGTTCTGAACATCTAGCTGTCTCATACTCCATCCCCTGGACACAGCAATAGCTAGCACAAGTCTAATAGTTGTAGCCTTAACAACAGGACTGAAAGTATCTTCATAATCTAATCCATAGCGTTGTTTAAAACCTTTAGCAACTAGACGTGCCTTATACCTGTCCACTGAGCCATCTGCCTTCTTTTTGATTCTGTAAACCCATTTACAATCAATAATATTTTTACCTCTTTGTTTAGGTACAAGACGCCATGTCCTGTTTCTCATAAGCGCGGAGTACTCTTCATCCATTGCATTTTTCCATCTTGGATCTCCCAGCGCATCTTCCAAATTTGTTGGCTCCCCTGCGATACACAACATACCATACGGTATAGTACCATCATTTCGAACTTTTGGATTTCTTATACCTTTTTGTAGTCGAGTCATAACACGAGAGGTCATAACTGGTTGTGGTTGAATATGACGTGTAGACTGCTGTGTAGGAGGTGATGCAGAAGATGTAGCCGCAGAGGATCCTGATGAGCTGCTGGATCCACTTTGCACAATTGATCTCGAGGTGGACCTAGCGGCCTGTGGTGTGGCCTGCGGCGTGACTATTTGTGAGTCAGCAGCCACAGAAGATCCAAACCCGTCTATCCCTGTCGCTGGTGCCAGCCCGCTCATGGGATGCGGGCCCCGGCCTGTCGCTGTCGACCGCAACCCAGCTGCCGCGCCTGGCGATGTGGCCTCCGCGAGTTGGTGGGCTGGGCTCCTGGCGGGCGCGATATCCAGAGATAATCCCCGCGCGCGATCCAAGTACTGGCGTACAGGAGTTCCAGGTGGCGGTGGATCGTCCTCGTGTCCAGCGCCTGCCTTGTTTTCTTCCGGAACATGAAATATTGCTTCATTTTCTCCAAAATCTTGATCATTTTCTTCACCAATTTCTTCTGCATTTTCTTCAGGGACCTGCACAGGTGAAGGCACAATACTGGTGGTGGTGGAATTATCAGTTTGGTCAGTACAACTGTCGCCCCCATGATCAATATTTTGTAGATTTGATGGAAGAAGAAGAATATCTTTTCTGAGAAGTGCTCCGG